TGGGTAACTAAACAGATACTTCTCAAAAGAAGAAATACAAATGGCCAATAAATATGTGAAAATTTTGTTCAATATCCTTATTAATCAAGGAAATGCAAATCAAAACTACACCCAGCTAGGCACAGTAGCACATGACTATAATTCCAGAGGTTCAGGAGGCTGAGGCAGGAGGATCTGAAGTTCAGAGCCAGCCTCAGCAACTTAGCAAGGACCTCAGCAACTTAGCAAGACCCTGTCTCAAAAAAATAAAAGTAAAAATAAAAAGGGCCAGGGATGTGGTTCAGTGGTTAAGCACCCCTGTATTCAATACCCAGTACAAAAAAAAAGAACTACAGTACTAAGATTTTATCTCAGTCCAGCTAAGAATGGAAGCTATCAAGAATATAAATATTAATAAATGCTGGCAAGTGTGCAAGACATATAGGAACACTTATACACCGTATACACTTATACAATTTACAGTTGTAAATTAGTACAACTACTATGGAGATCGGTATGGAGGTTCCTCAAAAGACCAGGCATGGAACCACCACATGACCCAGCCATCCCGCTCCTCAGTGTTTACCCAGAAGAATTAAAGTCAGCATACTTCCACAACACATGCATATCCGTGTTTATAACAGCACAATTTGCAATAGCCAAGCTCTGGAATCAGCCTAGATGCCCATCAACAGATGAAGGGACGCAGAAAATGTGATGTATATGCAYACTGGAGTTTTATGCAGCCATAAAGAATTTAGGTCATCATTTGCAGGAAATAGATGAAACTGGAATGAAATAACAGAAAGTCAAGTATTCTGAGTTCCTCAAAAGACAAGGAATGGCTCTAGCATACATCCCAGCTATTCCACTCAGTATTTATCCAAAAGAATTAAAGTCATGACTTTCTCTCATCTATGGATGCTAGAAAGAAAGGGGAGAAAAGAGGCTTTTCCTGCCAACAGAAGGGAAGCCAGTAGAATAGAGGATTGGAGAGAAGCAGGAGAGAAGTGAAAGGGGAAGTACTGGGCAAGGAAATGGGCCACATTATGTGACATGCATACATGGGTATCACAATGAATCCCACTATTGTGTATAAGTAAATGAGCCAATTAAAATGGGCAAAGGACTTGAACAAACATTTCCCCCAAAATGATATACAAATGGCCAGTTAGCATATGAAAAGACATTCAACACCTCTAGTCATTATGGAAATGCAAGTTAGGAGCAAAACCACAGGCTCTCACCTCACACCCATCAGGACAGCCACTACCAAAAAATAAAACAAAGCACCAAGAAACTACTGGTGAAGCCGTGGAAAAAATGGGGAAGCTTGTTAACAACAGAAAGGGCAGCCATCATTTTATGGAAAACAGTGTGTTAGTTCCCCCCAAAAAAAAAAATAAATAAAATTTCCATATAATAGAATTGAAAATGGGGTCTCAAAGCAATACTGGAACACCTGTGTTCATAGACAAAACATGGAAGCAACTCGAGCGCCCACCTGTGGAGGGGTGGAGGGACAAAGCCTGGTAGACACATTCAACAGAATATTAGTCAGCCTCTGAAAGGAAGGAAAACATCTGACCCAAGCTATGGTATAGGATATTTTGCTAAGTGAAACAAGCCAGTCACAAAAAGTGAAATCCTATATGGTCCTGCCTGTTCAGGAAGGCACAGAGTCAGAAACTCAGAGGGACACAGCAGAAGGGTGGCTGCCAAGAGCCAAGGGGAAGGGAAATGGGGAGTTTTAGGGGGTACAGAGCTTCAGTTTTGCAAAATGAAAAAGTTCTAGAGATTGGCTGTTCAACAGTGTGAAATGTACTTACTGCCACTGATCCATACATTTAAATATAGCTAAGATGCCAGATTTTATGGCATGTGCATTTAACAATTTTTTAGAAAGTATCCAGAACTGTGGTTTTCAAATTTCAGCAAATATAAGTACAGCCTACAAATATAAGTACAGTCTGTTAAACTYGCATGTTCCAGGGCTCCTTCTCCAGAGAATCTAATTCAAGAGTCTAGGCCTGAAACCCAGGAATCAGCATTGTCATAAACACCCAGGTAACTTAGCTCATTAAGAACTCATTTATGACTTTCTTCTGAAGGATAAGGGTGATCTTTTGAAGACTCTGCGCTACTGCTCAGCATTCATGTTTTAAGCAAGTGTGTGCATGTGGATGTATATCCACATGTACAAAGAGCAAGAGAACAACTTCAGGCAGGTTCCAGCCACAGCTCTCCCGTCCTGGGGAAGCTGGAGCTGTAAGGCTCCTGTGTGCGGCCTGGGCTCCAAGCCCACAGGGCTCTCACATTTCTGCCTGGACGAGCTCCACATCTTGCCAGAAGCATGTCAAATAAACCAAACACATGTCCACAGGATGTCCCCAACAAGGGAGGTAATGTCACACACACCCCACAGTGGCCTTGCTTCCCGGGCAGCTGGAGAGAGATCTGACTCAGGCAAGGCCACTGCGAACAGTGCACACAACACAGGGAAATCACAACTCCCAACAGTGGCCCTGGGAGCAGAAGGCCGAGGAGGGCCCTGAGGCCAGGGATTCACTGGCCAGGAGGGCCTGGGAGAGGGAGAAGAGCCTGGGAGGAGCAGCTCTTTCAAGGAACCCCTCACTGCCTGACTGGCAAAGGAGGCTCTGCTCATTCAGCCACGGCCACCAACCAGTGCCCTCAGCCTGAAGACATCCCAGCCATGAAGTCATTTGTTATCTTCGTAATGGCACCTCCCAAGCTCCACTCCAACGCCACCATTACTTTGCAGTGCGGCGAGGATGTCGCTCTTTGGGCATGAAGCAAAGAGCACTTCCAGCCTGCTGCAGCCAGGGCCCCTACGGTTCGGAAGCAGAGAGGCCAYAGAACTCCCTTACCTCTTCCAAGGCCCTGAGAGTTCACATGGCCGTGCAKTTTTGTAACACATACAAAGCCACGACATTCCTGAATTCTTTTGCTGATAGTCCAGTCATTGCCAATAAATTATTTGAGTATTAGACCCATAGAACCGGAACCTACTACTGGATACTATTTAAATTTCATGAGGACCCCCACCTCTGAAAGGGCCAAGTGCAGTCACATCCATTAGCTCATTCAAATCTTCCCTTAGGGGTAGATTTTATTTGTAAGTCATATTTACAGTTAAGAAAATAGGAATTCAGAAAAGTTCCATGACTTCCCTAGGGTCACCTAGGGTCCCAGAGATAGTGTGAAATACAAACCCAAACCCAGTGTTCACTCTACAATACCATTAACTCCTAATGATAAGAATGAGATAACCCACCCTTCTGGATGGGTGCTCTGGGTCTAGAGAGCACAAACAAGAACACACTCTAAAAACAAACAAATAAATGAGCTTCTCTTTGGATCAGTCCATTAACAAACACTTAATAATAACTGCCAACTTTTATTGATTGCTTGTCACATGATAGGTACTGAGCTAAATTTTTCTTGCAATATTTTATAACTCACCATGATCCTATAAAAATAAAACACAGACATTAGCCTCACTCTGCAGATGAGGAAACTAGACTCAGAAAGGCTTCTTAATTTGCTCAATTACACACAGTAGATAAGAAAGTCAAGCCTTAGGCTGAGGTCTAATTCTAAAGCCCTTGCATTTAACCATGATGCAATATTCTAGAAGTGGAGAAGGCCCAGCAGCAGTACACAGGCAGGGTATGGAAAATGCCTTTAGCCTACATCAGAGACTAAAAGCAAAAAGGAAAAGAACAAAAAAATATAGATTACATGATTTTAGGTTCTAAGGAACTGGTCATTGCCACATCAACTGCTCTACATGGGTATTGCCCAGGTCCCTGCAGAAGCCCCATTTCTCAGAGGCTCCACTTAGATATTCTGAGCATGGCACAATTCTTCAAAGCACCCCACAAGATTTCCAGCGAGAAAGGTGCCACCAGCTCTTGTAACTAACCTTTCGAGTACACTAAGATTTTTCAGTTAGTCTGGATCTATGCAGAGCTTATCTTCTAACTTTTCTAAGGCTTTTCTGGTGCAGCTGATAAGATTTGCTAGCCCTGTTAAAATGCGATGAGATCCAGCCAGCTGTCGAGAAATGTACAATGAGATTATACTGAGAAGGAACCACCAGAGACAAAGGCCCCTAAAGAGGAGCTGGCCTGCTGTCTGCTTTTGTGGCTGAAATCCAGRGGTCTCTGGTTCTTGGGTGGGGGCAGGGAGAAGAAGAAGGGGCAACAGCCATTTGCTTTATGCTCTGCTGTGGTCTTCCTCTGTGCCCTGTTGAACAGGCTGTTGGAGGACAGGGGACAGAAGGTGCATCTTTAGTGGAGAGAAAGGCTGATGATTTAGGAACAGTTGTGTGCTGGTAACAAAGAGGACAAAGATGATCCTGGGTCTACCTTGTTCTCCATGCCTGTCTCTTAGGTTCTGATGTTCCCTGGTCCTAGGTCCCAGCCCCTGGCCCTGGTGCCTCACTTGCACTGGAGAGACTGCAAGGTGCTTATCAGCATGCCCTTCTGGATGGGTGCTCTGGGTCTGGAGCGCCCAAGCGGAACATCTCACCTCGCACACAGGTGCCCTAGGTGTGAATGTTCTCTGCTGCGCCCGGTCACACAGGCCAACGCCCCAGAATATGCCTAAGGGTCAGGTGCACTCTGGTCTGCACCCACGTGACCGCAGAAAGCCGGACCCCGGGCCTGGCGGGTCAAGCGACTGTGCCCAGCCCGTGCCAGGTGGGCCCCTCACCTGCGCCGGGCCCGGGGGTGCTGCTTCCACCCKGTCCCCCAGTCCCTCCCGCCTCCCGCCGCGAGGCCGGGCCGGGGACGCGAAGCCGCGGCGCGCGCTGGGCCCGGCAGAGGCCGCCCGGCCGGTCTGTCCCCGCGGCGGGCCGGGCACGGAGCCCGCAGGCCTCGGCGCGGCCCGGCTCCTCCCGCCCGCCCGCCCCTGGGCCCGCGGCCCGCCCGCCCGCCCCGGGGCAGGCAGAGCCGGCCGGGCCGAGCCTCCGCGGCGCCCGTCCGGCCTCACTTAACTGTTCCCCGTTGGGGCGGCGGCGGCGGCGGCTGCGGCGGCGGCGGGTCCCGGCTCCGTCTCACGCAGAAGCAGCTTCTCATCGCCCGGGCGGCGCGGGAGGGGCCGGGCCCGGGGCCCAGGCGGCGGCAGCCGGCGCCGCAGCTCGAGCGCGAGCCTCACCGGGGGCGCGGCGGCGGCAGGGGCGGGGCGCGGCCTGGCGGCGGCGGGCCGGGCTCCGGGGAAGGCGCTGG